ATGAATTTGAAAGATTGTAGTATCAGGCTGCAACATAACAAAACTGAAAAAAGTGAAGGGGATCTGAATACTTTCTAAATGCACTGTATTTGCTATACACTGTATTTGCTACTCTTGCTATATGGATTGCTACTTAGTGTCTAAATTTTTTTAAATTAGATTATCTATGTAATTTATGTCAACATAATACGTTTTCTATTTAAATGCTTTTTAGATTGATATAGTGCCCTATCCTCACTAAAGGTGTCTCAAGACACTTTGCTGCTTGATGCAGAGCAGGGGAAAATGACGACCTTTCCGTGAGAGAAACTGACTAGAGTGGTGGCTTTATCTTGGTTCAGCACTGGTAGTGAGACAGCAGCTCTACCTCAGGGTAAAAGCCTTGCTTATATTGGAAAGGCAGGTCATGGTGGGGCACTGCCCTTTGCCCTCCAGAATCTTACTAGTATTTCCTGCCCTGTAGCATTTGCCATCTTAGCAGCCTTCTCACTCTGTCCTTTATTTTAAAAAATGTTGTTACTTGCAAAAAGAAAAAAAAAAGTTAGAATCTGCAGCATTTGAATCTTCATGGCTCATAGACTATTCAATTAATCTTGACGTGTACTGAATCATACAAGTTATTTGTTTGCACTTAAGTTAGTTTATATAACTTCAAAAGAATGAAGGCTTATCCATATACCCTTCTTGTCCTGTTCCCCAAAAAGCCCGATTATCACTTTGTGGATGATATATCCTCATGATGGAGCTTCCGTGTCATTGCAACCTTGCCACTGAGGCAGGCTGAAGCTGGATCAAAATGATTTGGTAGAAAAGTGGTATTTTGTATCAGAAAACGTAATGCATCCTCCAATGCAGCTTTTTGATTTGCATGGAAGGGAAGCCTGAGGGAGGTTGGTAACCTGCAGCACTCCAGTTATTCTACTGCAGGATACTCCCCCCACCCCCCACCCATCCAGCAGGCAAAGTTTTCTACTTTTTTTCCCCTCCCTTTGGTAGGAATAGCAGCCTCATGGATGTTTATTTCATGAGGTCACTAATCCTGCCAATCCCTGTCTTAATAGAGGGTTTCTCCAAACAGCACTTTGTGGAACCTCTCCCCCCAATCTTCTTTGCCCCTTTAAACTCAACATTGCAATGCAAGCATTCATGTAAAGTACTAAATGCTCTTGCCCCCTTAAAATTCACACTGAGTTTCAGGGGAGAATCCTAAAAGGTTGCTTCTAGGATGAGAAAAAATAGTACAAGGTACATTTCTCAGCCCACAAGAACTGATTGCTGCACAGAAAGTAATGCGCGTTATTTTCTCTTCAGGCAGGAGGTTTTGCCATCTCACTGCAAAAGTGTGATAAAAAAATTGCTGTCAGGGCAGTGGTTTAGAAAGCAATATACTATATCTGGGGATATGAGGAAAATCTTCAGTGGATTTATGCATTGAATGCTCTTTTTTCAGCACTAGTTTCCTGAAGGAGAAGTTTCCACTTGAAATGCATTGTAAGCCAGCTTCCGGAATAAAGTGTGTGTGTGTGTGTATACACATACACACACACACCACATTGTCTGTCTTTTCATGTGCTTAGTATGCATATCCTTCTGTCTTCCAACTTTAGAAAAAAATCATAATACTTTTGCATAACCGATGGAGACTGGCATATAATCCTTGGTTGAGGAATTTAAAGGGGTCTGTCTGCCTAATGTACAGTTGTTTGATGATATTATCTCTAGTTAAATCTCATTCCCAAAACTTTGTACTTTGTATGTAGTGATTGTGTATGTGTGTATTTACTTTCCTTTCCCGTTTCCTTTTGCTACTGAATTGTATATTTTCCTTTTTATAGTACTAAGTCACTGTTTGTCCTGTTTCAGCTGCAGGAACTCATTATACAATGACAAATGGAGGCAGTATTAACAGTACAACACATTTACTGGATCTCCTCGATGAGCCAATTCCTGGAGTTGGAACTTACGATGATTTCCACACAATTGATTGGGTGCGAGAGAAGTGCAAAGACAGAGAGAGACACAGAAGGGTACGTAAACTACATAAATTTACATTTTGATAATGTTTTTATATACTACTTAAGGTTAATAATGGTTGATTTAAAGGCAAGAAAGATCAGTGTGCACAAGGGGGAAGGAGAGCCATGTAAGTAGCATATTGCTGATGGTCAGTGATTTTTGATTCCACGAGTTGGACAAACACTCATTTATGAAAAAGTATTGTTCTTAATTCTTATCGTTGTTTCTCATATTAATGTGCTATGCTTAAGCAGTTAATTTAAACTACTCGAGTGCTTGGACGTATCTAGGTGGACTTCACTATATTCCACTTAGATTTTTACCTTATATATTCATCTGAAAAAGGAGCATTTGCCTCCTTCTGAAGCAAGATACTTGGTTATCCCACAAGAAGCTGCAGGTTTCAGTGTTCACTGCTTCTCTGAGTTTAGCAGGAAAACAAATACTGTATCTTACTTTATTAATAAAATGAAGGTTTATATTAATCTAGATTATATATTGCTTCTGTAGATCAATAGCAAGAAAAAAGAATCGGCATGGGAAATGACAGAGAGTTTGTATGATGCGTGGTCAGGATGGCTGGTTGTGACACTAACTGGATTGGCATCAGGTAGGAACTCATTTTTTTAATATAGTATAATATTTATATAGTATAATCCTAAGTATTTCGACTCAGGGGGGAAAAGGGTTTATAAGATTTGTCCTTTTACCTGGCTCCCTTGTTAGTCGAGTTCTGGAAGCCTTCCCCACTATATGGGCTTACCCGGCTCTTTGGGGTCGTATCGTTCTGACGGTGTGCAGCAAAGGAAAGCTGAAGTAAAATTGTAAGCATGGTCACATGATTTTCCACTTAGCGACAGTGTCACTTAGTGACCAAGTTGCCAGGCCCAATTGTGGTTGCTAAACAGGGACTACCTGCGTAAGCTTAGGATAACCACAGTGCTCAATGGAAACTGGCTGTGGAGCATAGGTAAAACTGGAGGCTTCTCATATTTTTTTACCTACTTGGTATTGGAAGTCATACAATTAATATACATAAGAAGAAGTTATACTTCCCAGCCATGAATCTCAACCATGTGATTGTTTCTGCTAACTGCACCTAGAAGAGTACCTTTCACCTACACATTTGTTTTTATTTCTACTAAAATGTTGTGGATTTTTAGGGTAGAACATAAAATGTTAAAATATTGCTGATTAATAAGCATTTGAATTGTTCTCTTTTTGTTTTCTTGCCAAGTAAAATATTAACTTATGTGCATTAAAAATGTACTTTTTTTCTTCTAGGCACAGAACAGGTCAGGCAGGTTGTAAAGTTCCGTTTCACTTTTTAGAAGCTGGAACAATGGATACAAAATATGTTACTTGTTAACTGTTGAGGACTTGCACTTTTTAGCTGTAGTCTTGTTCAAACATAATATACTTAGTCCCATGAAAAACAGTTCATTGGAGCATGAATGAGCAGTGAGTTCAAGTGGTTTGTACTTTCTGTTTCTTCCAATTGCTATGCATTTGTGACATCCTAACCAGAAAAATGTAACTTAACTGCTTCTTATAAACTGGGACTGAAAAGCAGGATTTATTCCTGAATTGTGGTTATAGCCTAGAGGGAATGCGGAATCACAGTTGAGGCTATAAAAAAGGTTAAAGTGTAAAGTTCCTTGTGTAGAGTTTGTGATTTTATCAGAGCCCAGCTTATTGGAATTCTAAGACCATTGTATATCAGCATGGACTGTATCAGCTTAAAATCACGTTATCAGGAACTATGTGTCTAATGTCCATTGTCCTAAGTTGACTATGTTTCTAAGTGATTCACTTGCAATTCACTCTCCCAAAGGTGTTGTTACGATTATTTCTTCGGTTTATATGGCCATCCACTTGCTTAGCGACTCTGTTTACTTGTGGTTTTCCAGTTTCATGAAACATAATTACAACTTATTACAATGCAAATGATTATATGGCTAGAAGTAAGTAATATGGGCCAATATATACCTCCAAAGGTACAGATAGCCCAACGTCCTATGGAAATATTACATTACAGATGAATTATGTTAACTGTGGTTTGAATTCTGAGAGTTATATTGCATGGGCCATAGAGGTTTCCTGCCCCGTTCTTCTCCTGTAGCTTCTTTTGTCCTCCAAAAAACTCTGAGGTTGACCATCTTCTGGAGCAGCATGTAGTGCATCACAAGGAGTTGCCATATGTGGGGGAGAAGTAAAAGAAATTGGAAACATATTTAATGGCAACTATACACAAATAGAAATGCTTTGTGGAAGGGTAGTTTGACCGTGTAATTTTGTTTATTAAAAAGAATGCACAGAAATTATGTTTACACATTTATTTTCATGCATACATGGGTCCATTAGAAACCATGTGTATTGTCATTGCAGGGTTATAATATGTATGCCTTAGATTTAAATTTATGAAATGTAATTATGAAATGAGCAATCAAGTATGTAGTCCAAATTAGTAATAGCCAGTTGACCCAGTATTGTTGGCTGCTTTTGTTGCTTATTTATCTCAAAAGCATCAGACTGCTGGAGCTGGGAATGTATGGACTTTGAGAGCAATATTGCTTACTGTTTAACCCAGCAAAAAAGTAATGTATGAACTAATAGTGAAATGTTAAAATGGGGCATAAAGTAATGAGCACATTTACATTGATCTCCATTTATGAATAGAGATACCAGAATCAAATTTATTCTTACTGTATCCACTAGAATCCTTTCTTCCAACAGGTAAATCATTATATGGTTAAATTATTATTACTAATATTACTATGTTTTGTTAAACTAATTTTATGTTAGTTGTAAATACTAGCATGAAACAATATGATTATAAAATGTTGTACAGTATGTTTATTGTTTCCAAAGTATGTCCCTTGTTTAGAGTACTAGGTAATATTCAGTTAATATTTCAGAGTCCCTTTTAACATGAAAAATAAAGTCAGTAAATTAAAGGCACAGCTACGATGTGTCAGCATTTCTGTAAAAGCATTTGTAGAAAGCAGTAATATTTTAAATATTGTTTTCTTATAAAACAGCAACCTCAGTGCGGCTTGTGTATTTAGTATATTATGATTTAGATTGTGTCTGTCTATTTTCTGAAAGTGTGGAACCATCTGTATTTCTGTACTAGGTGCTTTGGCTGGATTGATAGATATTGCTGCAGATTGGATGACTGATTTAAAGGAAGGCATTTGTCTCAGTGCCCTGTGGTTCAATCATGAACAGTGTTGCTGGGCATCTAACGAAACAACATTTGAAGAGAGAGACAAATGCCCATTATGGAAAACATGGGCAGAATTAATAATTGGTCAAGCAGAGGTAAGTACAGTCTCTAAAGATAAATCATTGCCTTGATGAATAAACCCTATCTAAGAAATAGGGATGTTGTTTGTAGATTTATTTACTTACTTACTTACGTATTTAAAAGATTTGTATGGCTGCACATCTTAAAACACAACTCTGGGTGGCTCATATCAACAATAAAACCCAGAACTATAAAGTCATAAACCATAAAACCAAAACAAAACCCAGCTCCTCAGTCATCCCCTTGGGATGCCCCACAACCAATTCCAGATGGTATCATCCTACCCCAGTGCCTGCGAGGGGTGCACAAGAGGCTTGGTGCGGGTTGGGGAGGGTGCATGAGTGGCTGGTGCAGGTGGAGGAGACTTGCCCCAGTGACATGCGACTTTCCCTGCTGGCTTCCCCATTGAAGCTGGGGGGAAGCCGGCAGGGAAAGTTGCAAATGGTGATCATGTGATTGCAGGGCACTGCAACTGGTCGTAAGTGCGAACTGGTTGCCAAGCACCCAGATTGTCAGAACTCCAAGCACCAGTTGTACCACCATTCAATTAGTACCATCGTAACTTCAAACAGTCGCTGAACAAATGGTCGTAGATCAAGGGCTACCTGTATTGTAAACAATATTTGTGATCATAAAATGTGATGTGTTTCTTTTAAAGCTGGGAATCTCTTTTAAAAGTAGAAAGTGCTCTGCTAAAGTCTTTGTTTCCTTTTGTTTTGTTTTAGGGACCAGGTTCCTATATAATGAACTACATAATGTACATTTTCTGGGCTTTGAGCTTTGCTTTCTTAGCAGTTTCTTTGGTGAAGGTGTTTGCACCTTATGCTTGTGGATCAGGTATTCCAGAGGTAGGAAATGGATTATAGTTATCCCTAACTGTGCTGGAAATAAATTTATAAAAAGGGATGTTCTTGCATATAACTAACTGCAAATTGTTGCTTTATGGAAGAAATAAGAAACTGGAATTTGATGAGAGAATACAGGATGCCATGAAGATTGCAGTTTAGGATAGAGGCTTTACATATTCTCAAATATTATTAAGAAGTGTATTAATATAGCTGTTGGCAGATTAAAGGAGAGTTTTATTTTCCAAATAAAATAGTATTGTATAATTTGAGATAAAATTCTACATGGTTCTTTTTTTATAGCTATTACCTTATTTTGGTAAAGTTAGTAATTTGAATGCCATCTTTTAGCATACTATGACTGCAAAAGCAGGTTAGCACATATGTAGATGTGTCACATAATACATTTGGAGGAAAGCAGCAGAAACTACTTATGATAGACTATCTTTAATTTTTCTCTGTCACCCTTAATTTTTATTTCATGTATACTAAATAGAAAATACTGGTTGATAAAGGAAGTGATTATCACAGCACACATTGAAATAATGAAAATGAGCTTTAAAAGATGTATTAAGACATAATGTATCTGAATAATACATATCAACATACCTAAATAATCATGTTACATAATATTGTATATTATCTTAGAAATTGGAGTGAGTTTGTAACATATTAAAATAAATATTGTAACACTAATTTATAATCAACTCTATCTGCATAGACTTAGGCAGTCATATAGGTTAAATAAATAACCCTTCCAAAGACTCAAAAATCTTCATTAAGAATTACAAATAACCTGGCAGCACAAAATAGAGCCATAAATTCTGAAAAGGCTAAATATTTTGAGAAACATTTATTCAGAATGTATTTTTCTTCTCTTCTAGATCAAAACCATATTGAGTGGCTTTATCATTAGAGGGTATCTGGGCAAGTGGACATTAATGATAAAAACAGTTACTTTAGTCTTGGCTGTAGCCTCAGGTTTGAGTTTAGGAAAAGAAGGCCCTCTTGTACATGTTGCCTGTTGCTGGGGAAACATATTTTCCTACCTCTTTCCGAAGTACAGCACAAACGAAGCAAAGAAAAGGGAGGTATGTCCTTTTTTAATTTCAGCTTTACTTTCAGCAGAACTTGCAAGACATTTCAAATTCAAAAAGTTTAAAATTACAAATGGACTGTTCTAGTCTTATTGGAGGTGTTCCAAATGTTACATTTTAAATTCAGAATATTTTGCAAATCTCTAATTTTTCATGTATTGTATAGCAGTACCTTCTTATTGTAGAAACATGCTTGTATCAATCCAGTCAAGATTGTTTTTGTAGTGTAGAAAATAATGTTATTGACTTTAAGCTGATAAGCAATCAAGACTAAATGCAGAAGTATGCACATAATAAAATGTAGTTCAGGAGTTTATTTAGAATGTTGGGGTCTCAGAAACAGGCTAGCTGTGTAAAACAAGGATCAAGTGCCAGGCATTGCTATGCAGAGACAAGATCATAATATCGGACATAAGACTTCCGGTGCAAAGAGACCACTTTCTCCCATACTTCAACAGAAATGCTGTTGCTTTCAATTTAAAGAAAAGTTTGTGTGTGGGTGTGTCATAATTAAGGATCACAAGGAGCTTTCATTGATGTGAAGAGGGTTTGTTATTTAAGTGCTGTATAGGGCTGTGTACCTATTTGGATCCAAAGGGGAGAAGGTGCTGTGGATGGGAATTGAGTGTGCTGACTATGCTTGTCATACCTCCTTGAAGAAACTCTACCATTTCCTGGTCTTTCTTGATAGCCACGCAGCCCAGAAAATAAATGTTTGAGTTAAGCAAAAACAAATGCAACATTATAATACTTAGTATTATGTAGGAATCAGGTCAAAAACTCTCCGGAACTTAAGCTTAGCATGTTTCATTAATTAGCGTTCAAATAATCTGAAGCCATCTAATCTGTTCACTAGGTATTATCTGCTGCTTCAGCAGCTGGCGTATCAGTAGCGTTTGGTGCCCCAATTGGAGGAGTCCTTTTCAGCCTAGAAGAAGTATGTATACCCAGTACTGAAAATACCTGTATTTCCTTGTTACTATACTCTCATATTGCCACTTGCAGATCTAACTGAGCACAGTTTCATTCCCTCCGCATAGAGCTGTTTAGTCACAAAATAGAAATTTTAAGGCATATTTTGCAGATAAATGATAGAAAGTTACCAGACCACACAAAATACTGCTGATTTATTTAAATAATCACTTGTTTAAACAGAATGAAAGAAAAATTATACCAATTTATAAAACCTTCCTTTTCTGGAGATAATTCCTCCTTGCCATAGGTTCCTGTGCAGGTAGATCTATATTGCTGTAATCCTTGGATTGCAAGAAGTTCCTTATAAATGTATATCCTTGTTGTTGTTATCAATGAAGGACAATCATAGCTAGCAGTGGTTTGTCTGAATTAATTGAGTGTCCAGATCTTAAAGGCTAGCATAGTTGGAGAAGGTGTTGGACTAAGAGTGGTTCTAGTCACCCTCGGTCATGGAAATTCCCTGGGTGACTTTGAGCTGCTCACACCTCACAGTGAGATGAGCCAGTATACTTCACACAGTGGTGGTTGTGTGGAAAAATAGGAATAGTGAGCACTAGGTTTTCCACCCTGAGCTTCTGAACCAAAATTGGGATATAAATCTAATAAATAAAGAAATAAGGCAGGGAAATACAATATGTATTTGTGAAGACTGAAACTGGCACATGGCATTATGAGTAAACCATATTGATTGTAACATTACTCATTACTTTAAAATAATGTGCTAAATATGGTTGAGTGAAGCAGGAGCTAGGCATCTGTGAAGATTTTGCAAAACACTTTGCATATATCTTGTCATACATAACTAAGAAAAGAGAGAAACTTTCATTGTGATGTTATCATTTAAAAATCTCCTAATGTAAATACCTTTCTTGGTTGTTACAGCATAATACCTACAAAATGTAAACAAGCATTCTTCTATAGTTTGTCTTGAAAACAAATTACTTAGAAAAAAGCAACTTTGCCCATAGATCCATTTATATTCTCTCTTTTGTGTCTTTATAGGTCAGTTATTACTTTCCTTTGAAGACCTTGTGGAGATCATTTTTTGCTGCTTTGGTGGCTGCATTTGTTTTGAGATCCATCAATCCTTTTGGAAATAGTCGCCTGGTTCTTTTCTATGTCGAGTACCACACTCCATGGTATCTATTTGAACTATTGCCGTTCATTCTTCTGGGTGTGTTTGGTGGACTGTGGGGAGCATTTTTCATCCGTGCCAACATTGCTTGGTGCCGTCGACGCAAATCAACCAAATTTGGAAAGTATCCAGTTCTTGAGGTTATTATTGTGGCAGCAATAACAGCTGTCATTGCTTTTCCAAACCCCTATACCAGAGTCAACACCAGTGAGCTAATTAAAGAACTTTTCACAGACTGTGGTCCTTTGGAGTCATCTTCCCTTTGTGATTACCGAAATGACATGAATGCCAGTAAAATAGTAGATGACATTCCTGACCGTCCAGCAGGCACCGGAGTGTATTCAGCAATATGGCAGCTGTGCTTAGCTCTTATATTTAAGATTATAATGACAGTCTTCACTTTTGGTATCAAGGTAAGATGAAACAAACATTCATTTTTCTTTCTGCAGTACTCTAATAAGTCCTCCATCTCTCTACTGGCAAGTGAATGGAACTCTTCCCATTAGGATTGTGCTCTCAGTCACATGGATAGATGATATCTGAGAAAGTATATTGGTGGGATATGCAAATATAGATTCAGCAAAAATTGTTTAGATGCCTCCTTTTCTTTAGGATTGAAAGAATTATTTTAGTCTTTCAATTGGACAGGTACTTGGTAATCATATGGTGGCTTTTGGTAAAACAAGCGTCATGTTTAGCTTATTGCGATGTGAAATGATAGTTGTTGAGTAAAAACAAAACCACTAGCATTTCAGTAACTTTCAGTATTACATAGAAAGACTTATTTTCATAAGATAAACTCTTCATTGCTTTGACATAATGCATTCTTGTGCAAGTTGGTGTAAAATTTCAGGGTCTTCTATGCTGTCTATTCATACTTGCACTACTAAAATGTTCAGAAAGATTTTTATTTATTTAGCAGCATATTCCAGATGATGGATGAGCATAGTCAAGTACTCTAAAGTCAAGGATAATTCTGGATAGAAATTCTGATTTTGATCATATGCTGCTAAAATCCTCTCTCTAAAAGAATTATTAAAGAAACAGAACTTTCTCCTCTTATTGGTTCCCCAGTTGTTTCATCTCCAAACCAGTTTTTAATTTCAAATAAACATTTTTTTTAAGTTACTTTCTAGAAAGTTTGCTTCCAGCTGTAGCAGTCGGTAGGTGGAAAACACGCTATGTTAATGTGCTGATTCCGTTACACTGCTATAATGAGGAAGAGTATATAGGTTGGATGTTCACATACTGAAGCACTGAGGGACTGCCACCCTGGGGTGGGAGGGAGAATAAATATGTACGTATAGAGAAACAATGATGGGCTGATATGACAAGAATTACTGGTGACAATAGTTTCTACAAGCTGTTAAAGGCTTTTACAGGCTGTCTGCATGCATCTCTGCTTGCACTGGATGCATCTGACTCTCTTCTTCAGAAATGATAGTTCAGATGTGACTTGTATGGTGTGCTGTTTCCGGAATCCTTTATACAAGCAAATTCTTCCACAGCCTTTTCAAAAGTTTACTCTAAAAAAAGAAGATACTCATTCTTCTAAGTCACAACCTTCCTTGACATTTTCTGTTTTAGGTTCCATCAGGCTTGTTCATACCAAGTATGGCCATTGGAGCAATAGCTGGGAGAATTGTTGGAATTGCAGTGGAACAATTGGCTTATTATCATCATGACTGGTTTATCTTCAAGCAGTGGTGTGAAGTTGGAGCAGATTGTATAACTCCAGGCCTCTATGCTATGGTTGGTGCTGCTGCATGCTTAGGTAACTATAACAGCCAGTGGTCAGCCAATTTTAGGTTACTTAAATAATGTCCCTTTGAAGGAAGAAAAAACAAATGGATACAAAGATTTGACCTGATTGTCATATTGAAATGTTTATCTATAGAAAACTATAGTGGTACCATAGGGGAAGGATGTCTGTGCTCAAAATAACTGCCATAGTGAGCTGACCAGTCACAGCTGTTCATTTTCTTTTACACCAACTAGAGAGGTTGTTCCTTACTATTATATTTTTTAGAGCCTTGGATATTCCTTGCCATTCCATTTGCTTTTTTGTTGTTGTTTCTGTTTTTGAGGAGTGGTACACTTTTAGAACAAACACTGCATAGTAGCCACTTACCAAGTACAGCCCAAAGGCAGATTGGAAATAAAGTTGAAGCTTGAAGCTAATGCTTGGCTGTGTGCCAACTTCATGCCTAATTCTTTTTTAAAAATTACAAACGAGTAACCCAGTAGGAACAAGAGAGGTGCCTGTAAGCAACATTGGTTCTCACAGGTGGTTCATTTGGGACCCAGATTTAGCAATTTCTTCTATTAGGTTTTGCAATGCAATCCTAAGCATGATATAAATAGTTCAGCAAGATACTTTGCTTGATCCTTGATGCTGAGAACCAGCTGGTCAAAGGCTTGGCAGGTACGGTTGCTCTGAGGCCCTCCTGAGGTCTTTTAGGAATGTTTGAAAGCACTTACACTAAGATACTGGCAAAGTTCTTTGCTGAAAGATTTGCAGAGTCATACTATGCATGTATAGAAGTTCAATGGGATTTGCTCACAAATAAGCATCCATAGGATTGCAACTTAATTTTGGCCTCATGGTTAAATGGCTGTGTATCATTTAACCATCTTCCTTCCATTGATTCTGTTTCTCATAAGAATAGCAGATGCTCGTTGTTAATTTATTGCTGCCTCTGCCACACATTTTGGTGTTGATATTTAGAAATATTCATACATTCCAACAACATGTTGATTAAGCCATTTTTATTTTTATTTTCCCCTTCAGGTGGAGTGACAAGGATGACTGTATCTCTGGTAGTTATTGTGTTTGAGTTAACAGGGGGACTAGAGTATATTGTACCCCTTATGGCTGCAGTAATGACGAGCAAATGGGTTGGAGATGCTTTTGGCAGAGAGGGCATCTATGAAGCACACATACGTCTGAATGGATATCCTTTCTTGGATGCTAAGGAAGAATTTACTCATACAACCCTGGCTGCTGATGTCATGAGACCTCGAAGAAATGACGCCCCATTGGCAGTATTAACACAGGATAATATGACTGTGGATGATATTGAAAATTTGATCAATGAAACCAGCTATAATGGTTTTCCTGTAATAATGTCAAAAGAATCCCAAAGACTAGTAGGATTTGCCCTAAGGAGAGATTTGACTATTGCAATAGGTAATTGCTTTTCATTAGCTGGAGGATATCTGTTATTTTTCCAAAGCATAACAGGAAGGCAGTCATAGCAGAAATACAGAAAGTATACATAACCCTGAGGAAGGAAGTGGGGACATGGTGTTCGAAGAACAGATAAGGTTGGTCTCATGCATTTTGGACGTGCCTTGCATTTTTTCTATTTCCTTACCAAATTGAGAAGAACCTTCAGTGAACTATTTATTTTCTGTAATTAATTCCATGTCTAAATCGAACATGCCTATTCTGTCATTGCAAAGTAGTTTTAAGAACAATGCAGGTATGATAGTCCAGATGAAATGCCTGATAGGTCTTTTGCCATGCAGAATTTTGAAAGGAAAATAAGAATTTCAGAACAGACTGAGGTGAAGTTGTGCCTCTGTGGCCTTCTTGTAGCCAAATGAGGTTTTCTACATTTTAAAGTCCAATTATCTGTATAGTAACTAGGTTGTTAGATGCATTTCTTAATTGCTGCAATAAGGCCTTGATATTTGAAAGACTCTTTGGGACTTCCTCTTTATAAAAGATTGTAGCAATTGTCGCATTGTCATGTGCACAGAACCTCGCTGGGGTTCTGTGTAGAAGCAGCATTATTCACATCCAGAAAAGCAGTGCAAACGCAGCTAAACAGCTGCGTTTGCATTGCTTTTCTGGATGTGAATAATGCTGCTTTATGAATGTGGCTAGAGAGCTGAAACTGAATCCAAGGAAGATAAGGTTACATTTGATTGGGAATGAGTGGATTAAAACCTCTGAAGACTCAGGTTTCCATCCTAGATTAACTCCTAGATCAGTTGTTCCATCTGGATATGCAGGTGGATATCCAAGTGGCAGTAGAAAGTTAGCTGTGGTGGTATCTGGATGAGAGGCTATTTCATTTCTTTAAGCTAAGGTTAAGAGGAGCAAGCACAGTTTTGCTCCCATTAACCTTAGTTTAATGTGCTATTCATAATATTTAAAGCCCTAAATACTCCTTACTTATTAGATCAGATAGTTATCTATGAATCTACCAAATGTAAAGAATTTTCTAGAGCTTTTTTTGCAGTCAGACTTTTAGATACTGATCCAAGACACATTTCTTTCAGAATGCTTTGGAATTTTCTTCCATATTAATGTTTTAAAATGTTCTTCCAGTTAGTATTCATAGGATGTTTTAAAATGTGCAGTTTAGGATTACTTTGAATAAAGCTGCCTCAGAGATTTAGTTGGAAGGAGGCTGGGACCAGATAGTTATATAGACACAGTTCAGGTGTTATCAACAGACTGGCAAGAGAAATGGGCTGCAATCAGTTAATTATGATGAAAGGATGGGAGAAAGAGACTCATGGTTTGAAACAGGAAGGAAGGACAATTCATTCATAGACCCTAGAAAAAGATTGTTATTGGGGCTACTTTTTATCATATCTACTAAAGCCGAGTCCTTTACTTTTCCATGAGAGCTGTTCAGTGCAGGTAGAATTCCTAGAGAGAGAATCATTGCATGGCCTAAATATAGTCTGTCCAATTTTTGGTATTTTTAACCACAACAATCAGCTAACTATTCAATTTCTTTATCCATATTTATAGTAGAAATATGAAGCATATTCATATTTGGGTGTTCAGAAGAGACAATGAACTTGGGATAGTAATACACACACAGAGCAATTGGCTGAAGTCTAGCAATGTCTTGCTTTTTTTTTTTAAAGATCCAGTCCTTCACATTGATTTTTCTTTTTTCTTTTTTGTTCTTGAAGAAAGTGCCAGAAAGAAACAAGAAGGCATCGTTGGCAGTTCCAGAGTCTGTTTTGCCCAGCATACCTTATCACTTTCAGCAGAAAGTCCTCGGCCTTTGAAGCTTAGGAGCATTCTTGATATGAGCCCTTTTACAGTTACGGATCACACACCAATGGAGATTGTGGTGGACATATTCCGCAAACTGGGCCTAAGGCAGTGTCTTGTAACACACAATGGGTGAGTTCTTTAATGAAAAATTTTCTTTTGCCCCCCCCCAGGGATTTTTTTTCCACATTATTCTTTAATGTTCCTTCAGATATCTGTCACTCAATTTGTTAAAAGTATTAAAGCGTCTTAAAGTTAGTATTTGCTCCACCCATAACTTTATTTTTCAAGTAACTTCTTGGAACCTTCTTGAGTCTCCAAGTCAGCTGTTAAAAGCAAGTAAGAAGCTATTGTGATATTTATTGAGTTTTTCTCATAACAAGGAATATATACTAGACTGAATTATCACATTAAGTTCATAGGAAATACATGAAAGAAAACTTGGTAATACTGCTGGTGTGTATTTAAAATATCATTTTAAATAGATAACTGCATGCAATTGTTAGATAACAATACCTTTGAAGCTACTTCCAGTTCTGCATATTTTTGTTTTGAAGTTACTAAAAAGCCAATATGGCAAAGTGGCTAAAATGCTGGGATAAGATCAGGTAAGTCAAGTCTCTGCTTGGTCAAGGAGGTCACTAAGTGTTTTGGAGTTAGCTATTTATATCAATCTCTCTGACAGGTTGTGGTTGTGAGGATGAAGCGTGGAGACAACTATGTGTACCAAGGCTGAGCTTTTACAACCCTTTTTCTGTCAAAAGCCACCTAATTTCTTGGAGGCTGCATGACAGTTGGTCAGTGAGGTGAAATAACGAGTCATTGGGGCTGGAGTAAAAGTGGTCATTGGGCCATTCACTATGCTTGTTTTGACAAGTCTCTTCCCACTCCCTGCAAACTGGCATTCTCTTTTTCTTATTTTCTCTTTTTCTCCCAGAGGTTTAAATTGGACACTTGCAAAGTATTTCTGAAATTTAACCAAGCACTTCATGTGCCTTACAGCTACAGGTTGGCCTTCCTTTCACTAGAAGATATCCACCACTCTCTCATGTGATTTTTTTAGCGCAATTGTAGCAACAACTAACTAGATTAGTGCTTCCAGATGTTAGACTACAAGTTCCAACCAGTCATCGGCAACAATGAGTTGAATGAAGCTTTGGTATAACTTGCCGTCTACATAATAAAATGAAATTTACATGTTGCTATTTTTTTAAAAAAAATTGGTTGTCCTGTCACTTTATTTTTTTTAACTTTTTTTTCCCTAAAAAACAATTGAGAAACTACATATCATAAAGAAGATA